GGCTTCCAGCACAACAGAGGTCAGTCTACTACACCCTGACACATACACCTTCACATTGTGTTAATGTATACTAGCTGTTCCCGTGCGGCTTCATTCGCATCAAATTATGAAAAAAAATATTGTTTACATGTGTCATTACCAATTGCAAATGTCAAAATGACTTGTCATGTTAACCAATCATGGCAACCTTGGTTCCTTGATGTTGGCAGCAGGTAGTTTATGGTTCCTTTCTGAAATAAAGGTTTTTTCCAATTCATTTACCCTCTAAGTTTAATAGCGTGAATGCAGCCTAAAGCGTGTCGTAAGTGTAGAGCTTTTTATTAAAAGAGTTATTCAAAAATATGCTGAATTGCTGATATCTTAGGCAACAAAGAAGTGTGTGTTTACGATTTATTATATTAGTATAGATTTAAAATGTTCGATAACGATTACGCACTAAATAAGTGCGTAATGTAATCTAAAAATCTGTATATTTTTTCTAGATTTATGTTCGAATTTAAGAGGTATATTTGGGGAAATTCGCGGTGTTTCATTAAAAAATTATCTTGATCGAAATCAAATACCGTCAAATAACTAACTAGGTAGCAATGAGTTGTGTAAAAAAAATCCGTATATTGACATTTATTACGACACATATAAGAATTGCGTCCTATTGGGTTTTATTTCGCATCGTTTTATGTACAAAATATAGAAATTATTGTATTTTTAAAGTGGAACACTGCGAGATTCTCCGATTGTACCGAAATATACCTTCAAGTTGGTGATATCGGCTGTTATTTGTCTTTATAAAATTATGGTAAATTAACGTTTCCGAAGGTTTTTTTTATGGTAACATTAGGTGACAAATTGCAGGGCACAGGCCTCTGTCAAAGAAATTATTGGGACTTAGTCAACCATACTGCTCCGTACAAGGTTTGCTTTGATTTCTCTACAATCACTGTTATCTGCTTGATCACATACATTTTACCCCCCTTTTGTACGTCAATTTTACGACACTAACTGCTGTTAATCTTCACTAAGTGGATACTTAAATGACTAAAGAAATCGGCAAATAGAATACAATCACAAATTTATATCACTTTTTAAACACTTTGTAGTTAAATAGATTAGCACAAAATGCTATCTTAGAGGTCCTGTGCCCTGTCATATGAGATGTCACCCAATCCTTGTCACCTCTTTATGTCACCTAAACATCGCATCGAGCACAGTCACGGTCATTTCAAATAAATTTGAAGTCACAGATTCAAAACTACAATGTTTGTGATATTGAAACATGAAAAGCATAAAGGGCGTCTAATTGTTCAATTTAGGTTTTCATTTATCTATCATATTTGAACCTAAGCAAAGATTATTTTTTATATTGAATAATGTCCAATTTTAATTTGTGAATCGGTATAATAACGTAAAGATCGACTATACTCAGTAAAAAAAATGATATTTTGTATTTTGATCGCCATAATGATGAAAAATGTATAAGTTTTTATTAATAAAACGGTTTTTTTAATATTTCGAACGTATTCGTAGAGGGGTTCCCAATATGTCCTGTTCATGTCAATTAGAGCCGTCATAAAACGTTATACGGGTTATTTCGCACGCTGCCGCTGCAGGGATACCAGTGCTGCCTCAACGGCAC